GATTAAAGGGCACCACCACAGGTCACAGGATTTTTGAACTTTCTAAAATTAGATTTAGTGTGTATGTGGGGGGGGGGGTCTGTGATGTGGGTACCATGGCCTGCAAGTGGAAATCAAAGAACAACTTCAAAGTTGTTCTTTCCTTCTACCATGTAGGTGCCAGGAACAGAACTCGGGGCATCAGACTTGTCAGCAAGCACCTTTACCTGCTGAATCATCTAGACACCCCTCAACTGAATTTTAATGAACAGATTTTTTTTCCTACTCCATCTGAATTTATAGCTCAAGGAAACTACACAGATTATCTAATTCGTTACCCACTGCATAAAATATACTCAGTGTTTTTCTGTTTTTTTTTTAATTTATTCATTATGTACACAGTATTCTGCAGGCCAGAAGAGGGCACCAGACATCATTACAGATGGTTGTGAGCCACCATGTGGTTGCTGGGAATTGAACTCAGGACCTTTGGAAGAGCAGGCAATGCTCTTAACCTCTGAGCCATCTCTCCAGCCCCCTGTTTTTCTGTTTTAAACAGATGCCATTTAAATACAGGGCTGGTTTTGCTGCTGCTGCCCTGGTTTTATTCTCTCTACACACTCCCTTGGCACTTTAACCTCCTTGTACAGATTCAACAAGTAGATCCATCTGAATAATCTACTTGTGTTTTCCCTCTATTTATGTTTTATATATGTCTAGCTCTGACCTCTCTCTTGTAACATAAACCTCCATTTCCAAAAGCCTTCATGTAGTTCTAGCAGGTAAGTATGTTCAAACCTGGCATGCCAGGCTTGGAAGCACACGCTGGCAACCACAGCTTCTCTGGAGAGCTAGGCAGGAGTATGAATGTGAGTCTTTACCCCATCTTAGAACAATGGAACCTAATGATGCAACTCATTGCTCACATCCCTAGTAACCACCATCAACAAGATCCAGTTAGAAAGTGTAGCTTTCTATTTCTGCCTCCACTAAACCTTTCCATCAGGCCCCTCCTCCCTACTGATGGGTGTTAGCTAGGCCCTGCTGGTCCTTGGTCTTTATCCTATTATCATCACTCTCAGAATGCACAGCACTGCATTAATAGTTTGCAATAATAAATCAATCTGCACACTAAACTATCACAAGTACTCCTTGTTTTTTTCCAAATGCTGAACTTCTCAATACAGCATCTAAACATGCGCCTCAACTTAAATCCAAACTTCACTTCTAATTCCAAAATAAATCATCCAGGTCATCTGGTACACTAACTTTTCCCTACATCATGAGCCTTCTCATCTCCAAAACTGTCATTCTCTTTATCAGTCACCAACTAATTTAAAATAGTTAGTTTAAGAGCAGGGTACAATGGAACATGCCTATAATCCCAAGCACAGAAGTGGAGACTACAGATCAGAAGATCAAGGTCATACTTAACTGCAAAGGAACCTTAGGCCTACTTAAGACGCAGGAGACCCTGTCTCAAAAATTACATGAAATAAATAAAAAGAATACAAGTTTATTGGAATTACCAACTTCCCCACAAGGTCAATCTGGCTTCAAAGAGGGACTGATACACTAGCCACATAACTCCAGGGGAGGTTACTGAACATTTGAGACTCAGTATCCAGACTATTCCAAGAGATGCCTACACAGTAAGTCCCTGTCTCAACAGAAAGAAGCTTCTATGTTGTTGTGACAATAATAATAAAATTTAATGCCCAATAAATAATAGCACTGACCCACCCTTGAGTGTTACCACGTCTCTAGTTTTTCATGACGACTTAAGCTAAAACATTTTCCTTTTGTGCAACCCCAAACTTTAGATAAACCCACTCATGTGGTTAAGTATTTACATACATTTCTTTGTTTTCAGAGGCTCTTCCTTTGCTGTGAACAGGGTCCTCTTGCTAGCAGTTCACCATCCTCTTGCCCCTGCTTCCTTTGCCTCTGCATGCACGTCATCACATCCAGCCAATTATGTATTTATACTATGAACCTTGTACAATAAATATCGTCCATCCCTACCAGACTCCAATGTCTAAAGACTAGCCTCAATCTCTGTGACTTAGAGGGCCTGACACAGCATTTTTCATGAAGCACTCAACACCTCCCTCCAAATTAAGTCCCAATTCAAAAGAGGTTTAGTATTCCTAGACAGTGCAATTCAATTCTTCATGATTTCAACACACCTTGGAAAACTATCAAAACATGAATCTTAAGTTATAATGGCTTCGCCTTTATTTGTCCCTACATGGTTCCCTAAAAGAAACTGACACAGAGAAAATGCTCAATATCATTTGACTTGACTTGAGCAATAAAATTTACAATGCCTGAAAGTATATGATTTTTACCAATTTCTTTTTTACTTTTATAACTCCCATAATTTTTCCCTTCAAAATAATTATATCCAGAGTACAAATCCATAACCAAATCTAACTTGACTCATTTTTCAGACTCTAATTTCAACATCCCAATCTTAGGCTCTGAACAATTGAGTATTTCAAGGTAGGTATATAAGAGGCCACATTTTCCATCCAAATCTAAACGTTGTACTCACATTTTTCCCACAAACTTAAAACACACACACACCCCTTTAGTGCTAAATATCAGTAACATAGATTTGGGTGGCTGGGGAGATGGCTCACAGGTAAAGTGCTTGCTGAGCAAGCATGAAAGCTGAATTGGAATTCACAGCACCCACATAAAAGCAGGTCCTATATAGCATGTCTGTAGCCCTTGGAAGAAGACTGGGGGACATGAGCAAACACAGGAGGATCCCTGGGACTTGCTAGCCACACAGCCCAGCCCAAAACTCCAAGCTCCAGGCTCAGAGACACCCTGTCTCAAATAATTAATAATAATAATAATGAGGAAGAGGAGGAAGAGAAGGAAAAAAAGGAGAAGGAGTAGGAGACGGAAGAAAAGGAGAAGGAGGAGGAGGAGGAGGAAGAGGAGGAGGAAGAGGAAGAAAAGGAAGAAGACACCCAATGTGAACCTCTGGCATTACACAGAGACATTTTTTTATTTTGTTTTTTCAAGACAGGGTTTCTCTGTATATAACAGTCCTGGTTGTCCTGGAATTCAATCTGTAGACCAGGCTGGCCTCAAACTCACTGAGATTCACCTGCTTCTGCCTCCCAAGTGCTGGAATTAAAGGTGTACACCACCGCCGCCTGGTGAGAAAATTTTTAAATGAAATAATTCTTCCTTTGCATAAGTCAGTTCATGGAATTTGTCACTTCAAACTATCCCCCTTATTCATGATATCACCTTCCTTTCCGGTGGAAGAGAGAATGACAAAAAAGAAAGACAGACAGACAAGACAAAAAAAAGTATAGATCCTAACATAAGCATAATATGAGAAGAGAACATCACTGGTTTGATGAAAATGACTTACGTATACTTGACACTGTGACAACACAGGTCGTTTGTAACAAATGAACTTTCTGGTTATAATTTAAAACTCAATGAAAGTGGAAAATATACCCATTATTTGCTACAAACCTTTCACCGGTAGTTTATACCCTAACTCCGTTTACTAACAGTAGTTACAAGATTTTCTTCTCTAGGAAATTCTAAGTTTATTCGAGCTAAACACTTCATACATTTAAATCAACAAACACACCTCTGCCCAGCTGTAGGAACCTCCGACGCGTTGCAACAACAGCTGGACTACACAAAGAACCTCTGATGAGAAACTGAGGAATATTTTTCTAAGCTCAAGAAATGACAGTTCCAAGTATGAAAGTAAACAAATTTGGGGTAGAAAAGAATACCATTCTCCAGCCCTTTGCAGTCAACTCGAGCAACGTCCCGACTGAACTCTTACAACTGTGACTTCGGTTGAGCACAGAAATTCGAAAGGTTGATTCGGGAATTAGCATCATTTTTTTTTTTAACGTCAGCAAGAACACGGGAAAACTCATCTGAAACTACGATTCTCCTCCAATCTTCGTTTTGTTTTTTTAAGAATTGACTTTAACAGTTTCAGCTTTCAAGCAGAGTCAAGACCCTTCGAGTAAAGCTACTGCCTCAGTGACCCTCCGCAGGCATCCAGACCCAGTTAGTTTCAAGCCGAGTCCAAACGAACCCAGACGACCCCGACGCAGAACTGGATGAAAAGCCCCGCACAAGATCTTCAGCATCCACACAGGGAGCGCCCCACCCTGGGACCGAGACTACACCCCTGGGACACAGGATAATTGCTGAGCCGGGAAGGGGGGGACAGACCCAATAGGCGACGAAAGTAGGGTACCGCTGTCCAGTGGCGGTACGGCTGTGCAGGTTCCCGGCGCCCGGGTGCACAGACCCCCACTGCGGAGGCGCCGAGCCCACTATA